GTAGAAAGTCGAGTGATTTGGTCCACTTAGACGCAACATATCAACGAAACGGATGCAAAAATTTTGCTAGCAATATAGCCACATTTTGCAAAAGCAAATTTTCACATTTCTTTAGCATTAAGTATTGTCTTAGCTAGATATATTGGCTACCTTAAAATACGTTCTTGAGAATATGCACTTGCATTTTATCGATAGTACAAAAAGACTGTTTTAATTGGCAAAAGCAATTTATATAAGGTGATCTTCACCGGCATTCTTCAGACTTTTAATTATGAGCGAATTAATTAAAAAACCTACACAGGCTTGATTTTTAAAAACTTTTGTGATAGACTTGTGCTAAAGATATCGTATCTTCTTTCTGGCTACGGTGCTTTTTAATAACTAGTATACCGTCGCTTTTTATGAATCCCTTGCATAAGTTTTGCTTGGTATAAAGTGCCGGTTGGGCTGTTAGGTCTCTGATGCACTGTAGACATAGCAATGGTTTTTGATAAGGAGTCAAGTTTTAGTCTTTCACAAAATGGCTACTCTAAGAGATCGTCGCCTTTTGCTTTGTGCTCATTTATTGTCACTTTTGTTATTATCGTTAGTTTTGTCATTTAAATTTACCTTAAATGCTAGGGTCTATCGGTATCAGTATCCGGACCTTCTGTAATGTTTCTTGAAGAAATAGTATATACTTGGGAAGATGAAATAGCTTTAGTTTTTACTGGACGTTCTGTTGGTGCTTTGGGTGGCTGGCTTTTGTCCGTTGCTATTTTGGAAGATGCGCCCAAACATTGTGGTAGTCTTATCGGATTTGGTCTTTTTGGCCTTACCGCTGTCAACTTTGGTATCGCTTTCTCTTACCACCTTTGGTGGCTTTTGGCTGCTTTTGCTTTTCAAGGCGGTTTTATTGTTGTGGCCGCTCAAGGTAGGTGTAATTACTTCTATAGATGACTGTAGTTAAGTCGGTTTTGACACCATTTATTTGTGCTTTTCTAGCGTTGCTGTTTATATGGAGGGTCATTTGTTCACAATAGCAACTATTTTCCACGTATATTTTTTCATTATCTCATCCTATAATCATTTCACCACGTAACTTTTGGTTGTTCTTTATATTTGTAGTTATGGCTATATTATTTTCTACTTAGTGTAGTGGCATTACAATGGATGGCAGACGCTATTCGAACAGCTTTTTTGAAAAACCTTTACTTTTAGGATGTCTCGCTTACGTTACCAAATATTCTGAATCTCCAAAGCGCTTCCACCAACTGCTTGTATTCTGCAGTTTAGCTGGTTGTGCACTAACGCCAATCCTTTTCATTCCATTTACTTTTGAGGCGAGTTTTAATGGTGAATCTTCTGCCGCACCACTGGCTGATGCAAGTACTTCCGTTAGCGACGCCTCCTTCATACATACAATCTTGCGTCCTTCACGTTCCTTGAATGATGAAAGTAATCATACCATATCTAAAAACGTTTTATCCAATCAGACGACTGAGGTCTTCGTCGAAAGCGTTAGAGTAACAACGTCTCAGCCGAGCAATATTTTTGTAGAGCATGATACGACTAACACTGCGGCACTAACAAGCACAATAGTCGTAACACCCCAACTGAGTGGTATTTCAGCACAATATGATAATTGGAACACATCGGTACCAATGCCTTCTGTCTCAGATGTTTCAAGTACACCTTCTGCTCTTGAATCTTTTGTCGACAGTTCAACAGCCTTCGTGGACCCAGTAGGAAATAAAACCCATATGGCCACATCCTCCAAAGAAGTTTTCAAAGTAACTACGTCAAGTTTAAACAACACGTCAGAGGCTCCCATGAAGCCTTCCGTTGTGGATGCAGAACACTTGAATCAGGATAGTAGTTCGGCAGATGGCAGCAACACGGCAGCGAAAATGAAGCTAGCTGATGGTGACGTTCGACTTACTAAGTCAAAGGATTCCGGGGTTTTGGATGGTCCAGGGGATGACGAAATGGAAAAACTATCGGTCGTTGATGGTAGTAGTACTGCAGATGCAATGAAACAAGACGAAAAAATTCATGAAAATGACCCTAAGTTGTCAATACTCATTATACCATCTCTAGCACCCCACGAACTTGAGTCTGAATCGATCACAAATGGCACTATCGGATTATCCGAACCACCCGTCCTCACGACTACGATTCCTCTTTCGAAGAACAATTCTATTTCATCCCCTATGTTGGTTGAAGGTTTGTCACAGAATCACGAATCAAAACCTCGATCAAATGACTCCTACCGCCTCACATCTTCCTACAACACTAAATGGGACAGGAGAACCCCACGTCGTCGCCACAATGAGCGTATCCGCTATCATTACATGAAGTCAGTTCGATACGTCTATGTGTCTGTGGGCCTTTTGACGATTATCGCCTGGTTTATTTTACTCCCGCTGACTGGGTTGATTCCCTACGTTCGCCATATTTTTGAGTGTTTTACAGTTCAAACCTCTCATCGGCTAAGCTCCCAGATTGAAGACCAATCTCATAGAGGTGTTTTTAGTGCGAAACCAAATGATGATGTAGAGACGATTGGTAAGGCCTTAGTAGGTGTTTCGACTTAATTTGGGTTTATAATAATGCCTGGTTTGCTTCCTTCAGATTTTCCTGGAGATCCACAGCCTGAGATTAGCAGCCTCGCAGAAAATGAGTCACCACCACCTCAAATAGCATCGAAGAATGTAGCTTGGAGCGCTAAGGGAGGAGAAGGTCAACTTCAGGAAAAGCCTACGTTCCATGTTAGCGTATCGGTGCCGAATTTTGCTGTTCTTCGCTCAGTTCGTCATAACCCATCGCAAGCTCATCGTAAGAATATGGAATCTTCCGATATAGACGCGAACGATACCTTTGAGACACCGGAGCAGTCAGTATACCTGAATTACGCGCCTGAACCGACAATCTGGCCCTTGGTAACCTGGCCAAAGGACTTCTGGGTGCTCGCTGCCACCTTTCTTTTTGCGGGACTGGAGACAACTTATGGGGCCTTCATTCATAGCTTCACTCTGAAAACACTTAATTGGACACCGGTAAACCGCCTCAATCAACGTTTTGAATTAGCACCTTTACTTTGTGTTCTCCTATTCTCTGATGTTTCGCTCCATAACTTGTATATAGCTATTGCAAATCTCCACTGTAACTAAAGCTGATACGGAGTATTGACTGGCAGATTGCTTATTGAATTGGACTCATACAGTATGAAAGATAAACCAGGTCACATCTTTAGTTTTATCATTTCATTAGTGTTGGTGGCATTAATGAATTAAGTATTCCTGCTGTGTTTGCACCTCGTTGATCAAATTTTGACCACAAATGTGCTCGTGTGTGTTCACGCAATTTCCATTTTAGTTTATTTTTTGTTTGTGTATACGAGCTTCTGATGTGCCATTGTATGATTGTATGCATGCACCTTGGCGCCACCTCCTGTCGCCGCGGTATTGTCCATCAGCGGATGTGGAGAGCTTGTTGTCTGCGGTGTACTTGTAGTATACCTGTAGTATACCTGGCTGACTGTTTATGCATCGAATGCGCCCCGGCCTCCTCCAACAAAAAATCTGTCTCTTGAATAGGATACTCTGAAATGATATTGGTCTGCTTTTAGGGGTATACTTTTCTTAAACTTACTTCGGTGGTTGGCTCGGAGAATATTATCCTCTGCCTCTATTAGTTGGATACTGGTTTATTTCAAAACCGTGCCTTCTGTGAGATGAAAATTCTATCTAATTCCTCCGTGCTAGTTTACACCTTGTTTTCCGACACAATGGTGATTAGAGATACACAAATTAGTTTGCGCCTGAAATCTCAATTATTTTTCATCACGTTATTCTTTTCGAACGCGGCTGAAATTTCTAAAGCCTTAGTGTTCTTTTTACATCACCGTTTGTCTGTTTAATGTGATCCTTTAACTGATTATACTTGGTCAGTTTGGTTGGGAACAATTAAGTTCTTTGGTGACTCAATGAGACCAGGCCTATACAAGTAAAGGGAGTTTTTTCCTTTAGGTAGATGCATTGCTCGTCACGATGGTGTTTTGGTCAGGTGATGCAATCGGGCGCCTTTGCCACCTGTGCTTGGGTGCCAGCTCAGATATGGGCATCAGCCTCCTTCAAAACGCCGTTAATTTCCCTTCAAAAGAGAATCCTCAGTCCCCTTCAACGTTACCTGCCCAGCGCAGGTAAGTCCCAAATCACCTAGATTACTTTGCTCACACCATTTTGGTAGCCGTATGTGACTTTTGACATGTTCTCCCAGGTTATTCTAACAGTTGAGGTTACAGTTGCGTTATTATTATTCAGTGGCTTGAATCAGAATGTTACTCTTGACCAATTGGGTATTCGCAGAGCAAAGTTTACTTCGAGATGAACTCAACACCTTCCTTACTCTTATTTCAACTTACTATGATTTACTGTAACTTTGTTTGGCAGCAAACAACTACTTAATCTGACAATAACCGGTTTAATACCGTATTAACTTGCAAATTCCCTATCTCAATAAAATTTCTGGTATTTCCTTATCGAAGGGCGCAGGTTAGTCTACCTTGCGTAAGTGCTTCTGGTCAAACCTGGGTCATTATAGATATACCTAATCGAAATCAAAACACACTTACATATCGAAAATTTAAGCTCTTGGTAACGTACGTTCGTTTATGTTTTGATTCTAAAGTTCTAGTTATTCGCAAACAAGTCAACGAATCAATCGTACCGCTCTGGTAATTTTGGTGACACCGAGAAGCTACTCTTTGAGATCGGGTTCTAGCGTGTCGTTAAAAGTTGCAGCTTTTAAGACAAGTGCAGTTAACATACTTATAAGGTTATTTTAGAGTTTGTAATTATGAATGCTGTATATTTTCAATCTCTAATTCACTTGTCAATTATGACGAGTAATATTAGCGATTCCGAGATCCCACTGGTAACATTTGTATTCATTGTTCTAAACGTACGCTTACAGTCTTTGAAGGTCAACAAGCACGTTATTTGATCCTTTAAACCCGAGTGCTAATGTTTCTTTCTGAAAATTAATGAATTTTTTACAAATGAGCCTACGACTTTTCTCAGTGTACTCATCTTTCCACAGTGTACCTATCTGAATATTATAAAAGTATGTTATCTGTCTATTTTTGACATAGACTTGCATAATATTCATATCCCTTGATTCCGAATTGTGTGTTTTTGAGATAAAAGCCTTGGAATCATGTTCCAGGATTTTTACTTATTTCTTATTCATCGTTTCAGCTGTCGACGTGAAAGATCGTTTCACATTGCAGCACTCTTCATTCGAACCGTAGCCCCCCTCATCTGCTTCATTTGTGCCAGTATGATGAAGGAGTTGACTTCATCGCATCCCGCCTACTGCCCTCGCTCCGATCAGTCTGGTAACGCAATATTTGAGTCTTGGAGCACCTCCAAAGACCGTGCCACCTGGATGGCTACGCTGGGCCTCGGTTTAGGGTTGGGCGCCACCGCGGGCAGCGGCTTGAATGTCTACAATTCTCGTGGTCACCGCTTCTATCTCGTCTTTTTGCTTGGCCAACTCGCTGTACCCGCCACCTCGGGTTATCTCACAGAGCGAGTGTTACATAAAAACGCCTCGGAGACTCTCGGCCGCACAACTGTCATCCTCTCTATCCTCATGCTCCTCTCCCTCCTCATCGATCTGCTCCTCATAGTGGTTCGTCGCTTCTTCTGGTGGAAGATAGTCACTAATTGGTTCTCTTACCTCTTCGAGGAGGAGAAAGAAAAGCTTGAAACTAAACGGGATGCTATAGGTACTGACGAACATGCTCAGCCGAAAGAAAGCCTCGTAGATGTGGCTTGGGAATCCTTATCTTTAGCCCCGGCAATACCACTGGAAACGAGGCAAAAGAACGACTTGAATGTTGATATGCCATAATCTTTCAATGAGTTCTTGATTCTGTGGGTGTATATTATGTAAACACCGTCCTAAATCTGCCTATCATCATGTAAATGTTAATTTCTCACCTTTTTCCTAACGATCTATGAGTGTTTAGCGGAGTATTTATTTCTTTTTTATGAAAATGGCCTCCAATACTATGTTGATTTGTCCTTCACTCTTAACGCATTTGAGTCTTTGTAAGTCAAGAAAAATAATTTTGTTAAGTTATATCTTCAGAATCTTTAACCTGCGTTTTCCGACGAATTGTGTTAATGTAAAACATCAGGCTCTTGCCTTGTCGTTGAGAGCCTTACCTACATATTATTCACCACTTGCCTACTATTCGGCATAGCCGAGAAACAAGTGCGCACTAGCTTTACTCTGTTTATGCTCTACTTTGTTTATGTTAGAGCGAATTCCCTCTTGTTCGGTCCTCACCCCCCATTAAGCGTCATCCTTTACGTCTGTGACAGCCCATCGGCGCTTATCAAACAGTTCATGGAAGTTTCATCTATACCTCGGTCAGATATCCTCCACTTTGTATGCTTATGCGAGGACGAAACTGCGGACTGGTTGTGGTTCTTCCGCGTGTACAAATATGCGTTGTGAAAAATAACGCTACAATCAGCAGATGGGTTCATTGTATGCCATTTGGTACACACTAGTTTATGCAGTAGTCCACGCGAATCTACCTCGGATTGTCTTTCTGCTTTTATAGTTTACTCTTTGAGGACGCTATCCGACTTTCTACAAGCATTAAACTGTTCCATCTAAATTGATTGATAGCCCATACCTTTGATCCAGGATCGTATCAAATTGTTTGTGAAATTGCTTTCAAAACCGATTGAAGACAACCACAACATTGTTTGGGTTGTGTGCAGTTTATGAAGCAGGGCACCAGCGTGCGCATCTCCGACACTTCTAACTTCAGTCTACGCTACCGGGAATAAGGGGTTTTTATTCCTGCTGTACTAGGATGAACCCAAAAGTGGACAAAGTGCGGACCGAGCGCTGGGATCGCGTAAATGCTTAACCCGAAACTTTTACTAGAAGCCATGTCACCAAAGTCACGCCCACACTGCATAATTATCAGTATTTTCCACTACTGTTATCTCAAGCGTGCCCTCCTTCAATGCACAGATTCACGCACCCATCCCTCAGACGCTGACAAAGGACACCATTAAGGTCGATGAAATTCAACTGGAGGCTCTTGTCCTCCGACCTGACTTCGCACAGACTCACGTCACAGCCACACCTGCCGCCGACATACAAATCATTCAAACAGGCGCATTATGATTGAAATATCATAAACACCTCATGTTTAGTAAACGAGATCGTATCCTACTTAAGTCAAAAGTTTTGAGTTTATCCGATTTAGTCCTCAGGTACTAATGCAAAGGACTTCAATATTAAGTTCCTGTAATACTAGGTAGAATCAATTTTCATTCATTATCACTCCAACTACTCCGTGTAGTGGGTTGTAAAAGGGTCTCAGGTTTATAAAAAGGCCGAAAAAAAGAACGCTCTGACGTACTTAGCAAAGAAAACTATCGTTTTTGCCATGATCGTCAACCACACGATGGTAGAACAGTGTATCGACATAGACGTAGAGGAGCCATGCTCGAGTATTGCGTGCTGGAGCGGAATTATCACAAGTTCCTTTTTTTCTCGCCGAGAAAAAACGACAGTCTGCATCAGAATGAGAGAATGGTGTGTTGGGAGAAGGAAATAAGTTTGTACGGGAATCGAAGCGGGGAAGGAACGTAAAAATTAGCAATATGATGAAAAATGGACCTGATGTATGGTAGTGCCGTAAAGGCATGAAATGCAGATGTTGCTGAACGCAAGATCCTGGCAGGAATAACAATTTTGGTGCACCGGCTTTCGGTAGGGAGGAGTGAAAAGGAAGATGAGGATTAGCGGAGAGAGGGAAGGGTAGATACAGTCGGCAGACAAGTGGACGTGCTCGCATTCACACATGTGCACACACACAGCCAGGCGACTCGAGGTGGGTGATCAATTGATCAGTGGATAGGATGATGGAGTGTGCTGGAATTAAAGAATGGCACAGCACCGGCAGTAGCGCCGTCGGTGACCGAGAGCTGACTCCGGCGGCGTTCCCGGAGCAAAAAAAGCCTGAATTTTGAGACGCGGATTCTGTTGCTGTAAAAAAGTGACATAATACTCAAGCCCAGCCGTAAATGGCTTTATCAATTAAGAAAGTACCTTCTTAGAATTACTATCGTTCCCCATAAAGCGAACTATGCAATTTGAAAAGCTGTAATCGGAGTCAAAAAAAGTAAAAGGGATTTACAGCGAATGCATAAATGAATCTAAGGTGCATTAAAAAACATAAGTTTTAGGCATAAAATGATAATTTGTTTGTTACAAAGGGAATGCATCACAATACAACAGTGCGTTACCAATTAACACGTCAGCAAATTGAAATGCGTTGAAAATAAAAAAAAACAAAATTAACAACCCCATGAAAATGCCTAATTTCTTACTAAATTGCACAATGCTTAAAACGGAAATCCGGATTAAATGATCCTATGCAACAAGGATGTAGCCAAGTCAGAGAAGCGCATTAAGAGAACCGATATTTATCATGACTGAAAAATGGGATAATCTTACTGAATGAAGCAAGTGAAACAACCGAATAAGCCTTCAAAGAGCATTAAAGTTGTCATATTTTCCAAAGCATTCAGCTACGATGCGGAGATGATAAATACACTAATGCCTCGCGTTAGAATAAGCTAATAAGTGTATACCAGGCAAATATGGTTGTCACTGTACCAAAGTTGATTAATGCACGAAGGGCGTCAATGTTTAAGGAAAATGCTGCCGGCACTTTCAGTGTGAGCTGCACGAATTAGGAAACAGGCACGTAAGCTTTCTCACCTTGAGATTTTCAATGCCCTGACGTGTGATGAGTTGACAATCGTAGAGATCGACTTGGCAAAGGTTCTGACACACCGAGCCAAGCATCTCGAGGGAAGAGTCCGTCAGAAGGGGACAGTTGTCCATCGCCAGTCGCTGCAGCTGCTGCGGTCCGCACAGTCCTCCTACGAGTCGTGTAATACCCTCGTCGGTGATTTGATCACAATGCGACAGAACTAGTGTGTTTATCCGTGGGCAGTAGGTGGCCAGCTGAACCAGTGTTGCATCCGTCACTTGCGAGCAGTACTCCAGGTCCAGTTTCTCGAGCTATCAAGAGGGGTGTCGATAAAAACTTCCATCAGTGTTAAATATATGAGTACGCTGCTGATCGAGAAGGCACTATAACAGTTTGCATAAAAAGCGGTGGATTTATGAGATGAACCAAAGCTAACTATGCCTATAAGACGGAATTGTACTCTTTTCAGAAAACAACGAACATATCACATATTTTTGAGAGTTGGAGACATTACAAATCTCTGTTTGCGGTGCAACCGCAAAAAAAGGCTCCTTTGTCTACTTCATGCAAAATAATGGCATTGAAGAGATAAGGCAACGCAAACCCCAAAGCGGTGCTTCTAGAGAACAGATACCACCTAGAATAAGCACAAACTCAGAAAAGATGGCAAAAGGTAGGAGCAGTAAGTAAAAGTCCCTGGTCGTTCTTTTTATCGGTTCATATCTCTGAAGTCTGTATTTGCAGTTTGCCGATTTTTAATCTTTACGACAGGATATCCTTAAAGCACTCTCACTAAGTGTCTTACATTGTATATATTCAATCTGTAATAGACACACGAAAAAATTAATGCTCATAAAATATATGTCTAATCTATTTTTTAATTATTTAAAAGGTGCAGGTTGATCCTCCGCGGTCAAGCAAATCACAGTTAAGACAACCCGAACGATGTTTGCAGACGCAAACAACAGTAATCCAGATAACATCCATTTTTGAGCTGCCCTTTTGAACATCCAAGTTTACTAAAACCATTGGGCTGGATAAGTTTCTTTAAAAAGATAGTGAATAAGAGCCAAAACTAAGAGCTAGGTATAGAAATTCGATAGTATCCCAGGCGTATAAGCAATCATCGGCGCAATTTCGACTCCCGCAAAGATACCCTGCTTTGTGTTTAACTAGCAAACGATTACAACTGTTTTATACGAACAGAATTCCACCAATTAGCAGAACGTTAAAATCTATTTCATAGTTCAAGTAAGAAATTAAGAACTTAGTTGGAAGACAATCCAGTCAAAATAATCGCAAACGAAACCTTTAACATCACGTAGTCAGATACATCTAGGACGTATAGCAAACGAACCGATAAACTAAGAAGCATTAGAGTGTTCACAGTGTAGAAGAAATCGACGAGCACACTTTAATGATTACAAAAATCTGGACCAGTCGCCTCAAAGCTGTCATCCCCTACAGCAATAATCTTCCATTAAAGTTCCGTGCTTTAATGCTACTCTACTGGTATCACCGAACACTTCCAACCAGTAACTAAAGAGCTAATAATTCCGTTAGTAAAGCAGGAAACCAGTTGGCATCGTGTTGAGTTATTAGAGATCTAAAAACATGTGTAAAAGATGGAACAACAATTCACCCCTAAAAAGAGGACTGGTGAATACCTACACTGCCTTGGCGCTATTCCATCACAAATCAGACAAATAGTAACAAAATTCCTGGCACAAGTTTTATACAACGAATAACACCTTATCTGGAAAATTGAGACACCTGAAATAAGTCTGCGTCACGCAACAAAGTATTGACGACTGACACAACAGACACTTACATTGACACAATTTCGAGCGAGAGCAGCAAGACCAGCATCAGTTATTTGGATGCATTGACTGGCCTCAAGCACTCTTAATTCCTTGCAGCCGGCAATGACAAGGGGTTTAGGCTGGGGAACGGGTGCGTCCCAGCCGGCGGGAGAGTTGGGAGCAGTGAGGGGGGAGGTGGAGACAGAGGAGTGGCGGTGGGCGGCCCCACCGTTGGCGAAGAAGCCTCCAATTCCACCACCGCCACTGGTCTCGCTGACGGGACGATGGCGTGGGACGCGCGTCACTCGACCATTGCCAGCGTGCGTGGACGTAGATAGCGGTGCCGGCAGAGCTGACAGGTTGATACCCAGCATCTCTGCCGCCGTCGAAGGTGGCAGAGTGCCTGCAAGCGCCTGCAAACCTGCGTCGGTGATCTGACATAGCGATATCGACAGGGCTCGCAAAAAGTGGCAGCCCATGGCCAGGTGAACCATTGCCTCATCGGTTATATTCTACGAAATGTGAATAAACGTATCGCATAGATGTAGGATTGAGCAATCACACAAAATGTGCGACCAGTCAAAATCACAGGTCCCAGTGCGGTGCTTTTGCCTTCAGAACAAGCTGTTTGAAAATTATCATGTGATAAGGACGAAGGTGACGTTAGAAATGAACCTCGAAGCTAAAAAATCGAGAAAAGTTGCTGGAAATACTAAATTACAGTACGAACACTATGAGAGGGAAGGCGGCTGCGGACGTACTTGGCCGCAGTGGCTGAGGCTGAGCAGAAGCAGACCGCAGGAGCGACTTGCGATATGGCCAACGCCTCGGCTGGTGACGTCGTGGCAGCCCATGATTTTAAGTTCTTTGAGACCGGGACAGCCCTGTGCAATGGCAGCCAGACCCTCGTCTCCTACAGCACACCATGAAACGTCCAGGTGAGTCAGCCGGTCGCAGGCACTGAAAAACATTGCAGCAGAATAGGATAGGCATGTAAAATTACGAATACAGTAAGTAATGTCATGAAGATTACTAAACCTATTTTTTAGCTGATTTGACTGTGATAATCGTTTCGTGGCTACAAATATTTCGCTGAGGTAAACTCAAATTGGACCAAATTACTAGGGATGTAAAACCAGGTAGTACCACTTTTGGTCGCCAATTCCGCAATATTTGCCATTGCGCGTGCATACTCAAACAATATGTATGGGCTGAATGCATAGGACAAGCTCTTCGATTGTTATTTGCGTCAATTCTATGATCACACAGTCGTTAATTTGTAACGCCTCACTAGATAAGTCTAAAAGATCCCAATGAAATTTGGTGATTTTAAGCTAGCACATTGATTTTTATGAAGCATTTGCTACGAAACCACGAGTACTGGAAAAATGGGCTGATTTTTATAGCTACATCAACTGTCCTTTGTCTACTGACATGACATAGACATCTTCCAGATAAAACCCCAGCTTTAACGCGCTTAAATGCATTACTCAAGACAAACGATCAAATTTCGCATCCAACACGTTTTCATTAGATTATCCTAGCCTCAATCGGCCATCCACCATCTACAGATCCATATTGTACCGGGGATAAAAAGCACTGGATTCGCTGCTTATCGCTTCAGTCCAGATGGGCATTAGGTGTGGAGACCGTCTCATCCAGATAAAAGGGGTAATAAACGAGTATAACTAGTGTTTTTAATACCTTTAGGCACTATTCCCGGGAATGGAAGACCAATGCGCTCGAAAATTTGCATAACAAATTCCCAAAAATTTTGCCAAGACATCATGCTTAGTAAATATTTATCGGATATGCATGATTTAACCCACCTCAATCAAAATGGACGACGAATAATAGATCATAGCAAAAATAGAATAAATGCATTATTAATGTCCGGAAAGACGTGCATGAATAACAATATCAGACTCACACTTCTACGAGTCTAGTACAGTGCAGCAATGAAAAGTTTGAACAAGGCCTAACGCGCACTGCGTAGCTTGTTGGTGAAACGGCGCTGCACTTCATTGTTGATTAAAATACAGCAGGAAGGCAGCAACCGACAGCTTTACTTGTTCGCTAGCTGAACCTTATATCGAGGTAAAATCAAAATCAAACACTCCACCCCTTTTGCCACGAAAAAGAGCCCAAAGTAAACTCACGTCCTCTAATTAAACAGTTTATGGGGGCATAAACCACCACAGGTACAGTTATGAGATCATAAGGTTCCAATAAGGGAGATCGCATTCAAAACCAATAATAAAACACAAGTAGACCATGTGGTCAACGCAACTATTCTGCCAACAGAAGCAAACATTTACATAAAAAGGTGATTAGTCTGGTGAACCATACATTTATCAGCTTGAAAATAAGCATGCTTTGCTTTGAACTGTCATTCTATTACCGTAATCATTTTCCATGTGACTAAGGTGGGAGAAAAATTCTACCAAAACAACTTTCAACAGTGACTTTAACCAAAGAATAGCTTAATGCTTGATTTTATCACAAATTTCACACACAAGAGCCCTGAATCTAAAGTCGATGAAAGTCAGGCGCAAGCTGTACAGTCATTGATGTAGTTTGCAGCTAAGGAAGATTCGGATTAGTTAAGAGAACCCGCCGATCATAATCTCCGTCTTTTCTATTTACCATGTAGCGAAATGTAAGAGAACACAATACAGAACCCAGAGCGCTGCAACGGTTTTACACCAGCAGCAGAAGTATCATCCGAACTTATTCCCAACTCCATTGTTACACCTGTATTATCAGCGTTCATAGGCATCGACATTAGCATCTTGAAATGCTCCCTAAATAGCTCACATACCTTAGCTTCTTTAATCCATCATCACCGATATGTGGACACGAAGCAAGAGAGAGTTGCTGAAGTTCAGGACAATTCTGTCCAAGATATTTGCATGTTTCATCAGTCAGATGTTGGCATTCCGACAAATCAAGAATCTTGATAAGACGACACAGACTTGTAAATCGCCTAAAAGAAGTGTTTCGTATGAGAAAATAATAGACGATGACGCCAATCGACTCGGTTACTGGAGATAAAACTAGCCTTATTGCGTCATCGTTGATGTTGCGACAGCCCCGAAGAATAAGTTCTCGTAAGAATCCTTGGCAGCGTTGCGCGATCTTTTCAACAACTTCGGGCTAGTGACAGTAAGAGTACTAAAATCAGCTCACCTGAACATCCCTTTGAAAATTGAACAGGTTCGTCCTCTTCCAGTTACTGCCATCAAAGGCACACTTATACCAAAACTAATATTTTTTAAATACAAATTATTCGTTACTTTGCAGACCTGAGCGCATGTACAGAGTGTTTCGATATCGAGATATGAGAAAATCCTCAAAGAATAAGCATGCTAAATCACACATACTTTAGAATAAGTTCCCGAGGTAGGGCATCATTAATGCAAACGACTTGCTAACCGAATACGACAAGAGTATTCACATGTTACCTTTCGTTCCAAAGTCCCAGCACTTGAGCTACGCTGAACGGCTAGCATATTCAACCACACCAGCAATCTTGTAAACCTCGAATTAAGCTCTGTACGTGGCACGAGAAAAGCTTTATTGGTAGAGTTTAATGGTGTTTAGTAAAATGTTAGGTGAATCCTTCATTTCCCTGAAAACTTAGCCATGCAAATTAACGAACAAAATATGGGAAAACGATCAGCTGTGACAGCGTCTTATGCAGACGTGTCTATTTAAACAAGGAGTCAAATGCGAAAGCCAAATTCAGTTCTGTAGAATTCAAATAAGTTCGTCATTATTAGTTTATGTTTCCAAACACTAGGGCCGCCGCAAAGTACAGTTTCAAGTAAACATATAGCAATTAGATATTAGCCAATACATAAATGTAGCATGCATATTATAAGTTAGTTTTGGTAGTCTGTCTTTCACCCAGTAAACCTCTTAATCAATTTTTTACTATAGTATTTTAAAAAATGACATTGTACAAGAAATCCTCAAAAGTGGATTCTGCCACATATTTTAATAATGACTTATAGTTCGACTCAAACACAAATTAAGAGGATAACCTATAATTCGCACAAAATTGTGGTACTACGAGTTGGTTCTGAGGATGAGAGATGCCACAATACAAGGGCAGAATCTGCATCACCACCGTACACAATGGCCGTATGGCTGAGCAATTTGCAGCATCTTCTTAGTTTATTCCCTCTTTCCTGGGCTTCATGCCCTTAGAACGAAGAGGCCGATTGTAAAGGGGCATATTTATTGTTTAGCGTCAATAGGAACAGATACAATTATAGGGGGACCTGGACAAGGATCTCTTCTCCGGTTCGGGAGAGGTTTACCACACCTCATTCACGAGGTTCGAGCCAAATGCCCAGTCTTTCTTGAAGGCTACATTTAAACAACTTGAGTACTACAAATACACTAGCTGTTTGCACAACTGGCAGTTTGATAAAGGGTCCACTTTGGATCTACGTCATTGCAACTTCGCCAGTACCTCCAAGCCCTGCTGCATGTCGTCCACACACACATATATATATATATATATATGTATATACATATATATATACATATATATATATATATTGCCCCAGCATTATTCATTCTTACGTCTTTAGGGAAGTCTTGGGGAGCTACTGTTATTAGCATGACTCAGAGTCCATTTTATTTGGTGAAACTATAAAGGTCAGGCCTTAAGAGCCCGCGAAGCGTTATATTAACAATCAAAGCACTGTAAGGTTTCAAAAGATATCCCTTCGTTATTAATACAAGGGTATTCCATTTTTTATCACTTAGAAGGAGTTAAATTGAGCGATTTTATTGGCATTTATGACAAATCAATCATCTGCCACGACTAATCACTTGTGGCATCGTTGTGTTAAAAGCACTGCTCAGTGTCCTTCATTTTAACGCGTCTGGTTACGTGCGCAAAATGGAATCGGTCCAAGACTCATTCGTTCGTGGTAATCACCAGAATAGGATAGTTTCTAGTTTATTGGGGGTCAGAATCGATAATTCGAAAACCGTAAGCCTTGAAAATGGTGGGCTTGTATCCTTTCCAGATGAAATTTTACCGTTTACTCAATTACAGGCATGCCATTATTGCCTAATATTTTTAAAGCGTCTCTCTCTTTACGGTAATCGGGTCTGTTCGCTGCCAGACTACTTTTTTGACTCGTTTCCTCAATTAATTTGGTTGGATCTTCGCTTTAACTCTCTTTCATTTATTCCTCGAAAGATCAAAAATTTGTCGAAGGTTAAAAACCTTCTGATTGGACACAATAGCATATACAGATTGTGTCTGGAACTCGGAGGAATGGAAAATCTTATAGGGCTTAACATTGAAGGAAATCCTCTTCGATTTCCCCCAAAAAATATTATCAATAGAGGTTCTAAATATGTGTTGAAATATCTCAAAGAATGCTATGCAAAACGGACTCATCTGGAGAGTAGGTTATGTTGTGCGTCATAATCTGAGGAATTTGTCTTAACCACATTATATTGTGCTCTTTAATCTGCTTAAAATGCTATCTTATTTTGCACGTGAAAATCGGGTTTCTTTCTCGCATCTTTTTAATATCCACATTCAGGTGTTTTTTCCGCATTTTAGACGTTGGTGTTATAGCCATTGTGTCCTATATTTGGGCGCTTCCTCAATGATTTATCATTTCAATAGTCCTACTGATTAATTTTATTTATGCCTTTTGTACTACAGTTTGTAAATTGATCCACTCGTCCGTAATGAGGTTCACTCATTTTTTATGCAAATCGAAATGTGCCTTCAGCTATTTAGCAACGGTGGATTTTTGGTAAAGGCTATGAACCAGGACGATTTTGCGCAATTTATGAAAAACAAATAGTTTTTATCATAAATAAATTATGTGATCAAGTGGCATAGGCGTTCAATTTTTTAACGTGTATCTGCAGGAAATAGCTAAGCATTTCTAATGCTTATTAAATTAAGAAATAGGCAGAGTATTGGAAAGGTTACCCTATTTAGTGATTTAAATCCAAACCCATGCGATCATAATAATTGGTCTATTTATTTTTAATTATGTGCTTTTAGACGAAATTAAGGCACAGGCTTCCTCGTTTATTGATCCACAAACATATATTGACGAACTGGCAATTGAAAATGTGAATAAGGCGATTTTGTCGTGGGAAAGTGGCCAAGATACCCAAACTACTTCGCGAACATTGCCATCTCTGTATAAATCTAAACTTCATCGTCGAATAGTAGAAAAACTTCGAAAATTTCCCGAAATTAGAAGGTTTGCTTTTTATAAACTTAATAAAGCTTGCAAAAATTAAATTAGTGGCCCTCTTGTCCACTCATGCCAATCTCAAAGGCATGCGCTGACTCACCAGTCAGGCATCAAACTGGTATCAGATGAATCTGTTCGACAAAGTGAAATGAAAGAGCGCTCCCGCCGCAAACGCAGATGGGATAAAATGTGCCAAGCTTCTGCTCTTCAGCGATGGAAGTGCGTGTAAATTTCTCTTATTTTATGTCGTCGCAGTTGCTTAAGAGTCGTAGTTGCTTCATTTTAGAGACCGTCAAATGGTTTATGAATGGAAAACAAATTATCGAAATAAACAAAATTCGCTTTTTTCCATATATCAGGAAAAGTTGCCCAAGGAAATTAAGGAAGGTGGTTGATTAGTCCCATAAACGCATTAGTGTACATTGGTTTACTCCAATATTGAAACGAAACATGTTTTTTTGTGTGAAGAGTCACGAAAACGCGTTCAGGTAGCACCATTCGGTGTAACCCCTGAGGCGACATTCGTTATTTCATCAGCAGAGTTGGAAAAACTGAAAACAGCAGCTCGTCCTTCCATTTTGCCCGATTCGCGCCCGCAACCCCGAAGTGGAAGTTTTGTTCTCCAACTGGAAAAGGACAGGTATGCATGGCCACATCAGATAAGAAATTCAATCTGTGCAATTTTATTAGACGAGCCTGGGACAAAGTTCTGATCGATGAGATCAGTGAACAGGTTTATGTACTGAATGCCAAAATGGATAACCCATGCCTACCCAAGGTCTTGGCTGATGCTGAAATGGATTTGGCCAATGTAGGTGTTTTACTTAAATGAATCAAGTAGAGTTTGTTTCCCCATCATCATTGGATTATTCTCAAGGGCTGATTCTTTTCAGGCGCTACAGCTACAGCTAAGACTAAAGAGTCGACGTGATGTTCTCACCCAACTGAAAACTGCAACTAACCCAACGGCTTTCATGCAGTAGCCAAAATACACCTTCGCAAACCACTTAATTGTATCTCACGGGGGTAATGACTAAGTTTATTGTGATCCAGAATGAGTGGCAGAATCAACGGTTTAACAGTCATAATTCAGAGGCAAATAACTCACCGTTTCGACTGAAGTTGAAGTGCTAAATACGGGTGGCCATCGGATGTCCTCAGCTCATCGAATAGAGACCCAGATAAAGCACATCTTCAAAGTGTTTTCAGTCTGAATTTCGTTGCCGGCATTTAGTGAGATTGGCATTTCCCTACTGTGAAGCACTGTGTTTGTCACCCGCTATTGGAAGTATGCGGTCTTCAATGCACCTTCTCTCTAGGCGCGTACAATCGACTTACAAGGACCACTGCGTCCGGTAACCCGGTTATTTTGTTCTATGTTATCTTTATATTGGAATTTTCGTCTGTCCCTTTCGAGGCCAGGTCAGAATCCAGATTGAGGCAACCCCTGGGGTGGTTGATCAAAGGTTTCTTACTATGTCTACAAAGTTTTGAGCGTTAACTTTCAGTTTCAGGTAGATTTTGCAAATCACCACTTACGCCCATGCTTTGTAACATGACTCACTTTAACGGCTTGAGACGCTTGAAAGTGAAACGAAGTTCTCAGACGTGTAGTGACGGTTTGTATTATTTCACTGTCGAAGTTGCCTGCTATGGAGTAGTTCAAAAGTTGCCGTGATTGCATTTTATAGTGGTCCGAAATGGTTAGGCCGCGATATTCAATACTTAACTTCTGCCTCCAATGAGACAAAAAGACCCCGTGTTACGGATGCAAAGGGGCCTATTTATTGTGCTTTGATCATATTTAGTTAAAATACTTCAACGAGGTTGTTGAAGCTTTTGGAAATCGTTTAGTCTGCGGTAGGCTGACTGATGATTAATTTGCGTCCGAGTTTCAATCGTTTTATTCGGCTAGACGAGTAGTTTATGCAAAGGGTAAGAGGGAGGGAGTGCTGGAGGGTTAAAGTGTATCTGCAGGTTTTGCGATCTATAAGTCATCCAAATTCTCAGGTGACGTCAATTGATGACACAGGTGAGTGTGGTCTGCTTAAAAGAGGGGAGGGGGAATTCACCTACTGATAGCATTACAATCTACACATGTGGGGGATGGTAAGAAAGGGGGAAGTAAACAAGATCGAATTAAATCTTGCTCTTCCAACAGGACGAACGGTTTGGGTACACACCCCCGCTGAGGGTTGGAGCGCAAGGACTAAACTATTCGTAGTTGGAGGCAGTGGAAACATCCGCGCGTTCTTGATTGATGCTACCAAATGGAAGCTTCGGGGTTGTGCGAAGCTATCCCGGGTGAATCCTAGCTATTTCCAAATAAACTGCCTCTTAATCATTTTCACGGGGAATACCGTGGAGTGATTTTCTACACTTGTAGAAATAATTTATTTACTTAACGTTCATATACTTTTAGATCCTAAATGAATATTACTAATATATTGAACAACTATTTAGCCTGTAGTTATTATTTGCTTGATCTTCTTTCCCTTGTGGAGTTGTTCAATGCCATCCATGGTCATCACGACCCGATATATTTGGAATTTGAAATACATAAAGAAAGGCTAGGGAGCTGCCTTTAAACAAGGTGGGAGAGACATTTATTAAAAGGTCAGTTTAAAAAGAATAACATGAGTTTCATTAATCTATTTCTTGGCAAGACAATCAACCGTTGCATCCCCATGTTTTATCGGTCCAATATGACCTCATATTTTGCAATATCTCATCTAAATTAGTATCACATGTGTAAATAGTCTTGTATGGGAGTGGATTTACGCTGATTTGGAATAACACAGATAAAGTAGTAGCCTAAGCTAAAAATAAGCATCCAAAGCTAGTATCATCTTGCTGTACCACGTTGTAACATAAAAGGTATGCGAGGTTACTGAAAGGTGAAAAACACCTTGTTTACGAATAAAAACCGAGACCCATCTATTCAATGGTTACAGTGAGACCCTTCTCCCTTATTTTACTTGCAAAAGGGCTAGTTAGGCCTTCTTGTATAACCGATAAAATGTCACGCTTTTGTGGTGACCTTTTTTGAGGGTGCAAAATGAGCTAAGAGGGCAGGCTACCTTGCTGACATTCCCCAACTTTTTACACCGCCGTAACGTTTTCTGCTAAAAAAATGATTCACACTTAACAAACCTGCATTGGAAATCGTAATACGCAAAAAGAGTGTGGTGGATTGGGTCCGTCTGTTCTGTGATTTGATATCCTTAAGAAGTACTCCTTTTGATGGATACGCACTTCCGCGAACAAGGATGAAAATTCATGGAAAATGTGGAGGCGTCTTGTGAAGTATTGTATTTCATCGGTATTTGCCACTAATGATATTTGTAAGGTGGCTTAGTGAAAGAAGTTTGCCAGTTCGTTCACGAGCTTGGCTATAGTAATTTGCTGTGCTAGTCGATGGAGAGGATTGAATATTCGCATGTAACGAAGCAATGCATTTCGACTACAGCTAGTAGAAAGATTCCACTTTATTCTGTTATTAATGTTTGCCTTTCTTAGGAGAATGGGTTGTACAGAGCCCCGATTAGCAGATCTGGTCTCGCCTAACACTTAATCTTATTCTGGTATACCATTAAGCATAGGTAGTAAAGTTTTCAGCTATGCTACTTGTGTACCATGGAGCTGCATGTTTAACTTTTGAACGTGAATCTCACTAATTCAATGGCCTTGAGCAGTAAGTGGCGAAGAGTTGTATTCGTGATGCATTACCAATTAACCATTATCTTCATAAGATAATCACTTAAGAGGTTCTATTTGAAATTAAGCTGAAACAGTAAAAGTTGAACCGATGGGATCGTACCTACTGGAGCCAATGAACGGCATGAACGCGTGATGTTCATAGCAAACACAACCGTAACGTCGTTCTAGTTAAATCCCTTTTTAAATTCCAACAACACTACTAAAATGGAGTTCTGTTTGAAGTGATAGATTAGAGTACCTGGTTTTGCTTCTAGTAATATTAAATTTTATCAGATTCTGGTTTCCTCGAACCTAACTCCTGTAGTTAATAACCTTGATTTTAAAATATACTATCAACCATGGCTGCACTAATCCCACAATCCGCAATCTCCATTAATGCTCGAGGCTCTGACTCGACGAGATAATTCCGCACGAATACATTCTTGCCAACGTACAGAATGGCATTGTATTCAGCTAATAAAGTCACTTTTGCAACTTCAATTTAGATGCAGAAATACGCCCACCCAACTCTGTATTCAAGTTGCTAATTACTAAGTAGATGATTCATGAAACGTTTCACAGAATCCTCTCGTTTGTGCTAAAGGCAAGTAATGCTGGTGTTTCTGCTTGATCTTACTTAAATAGTGAGAAGAGATTATTTAAGTGGTTACTTATATAATTATTCGGATGGGATGTGTGTCACAAAATCAACACTTTGATAAAAAAGTGCATAGCACAACCTATGAATTAGCTACCGAAGTCAATTTTACAATCTTCCGGCATTAAACATTAAAGGCGTGGCAACTCTGATAGAGAAATTTACCGCATTCTTTTTCCCTATTTGATAAGGAAAGGTGTAATTTCACTCTGCAAATACAGTAAAGCTCATTCGATTCATCATTTAGAGCTTTTATGAAAATGGGAGTCAATATTGATGACCTGTTGTACGAAGTTTGTGCAAACAAAAATGTTTCGTAACATTAAATAATCGGCCATTTCACTCGTACATAAAAAACGCACAGTAAAACCCCAGTGTAAGGGGTGCGCCAAACCCACTAAAGCGCATGAGAATAAATTACCTCCAATAAACGTATTATTTCTTCGAGTCTTAACAACAGACTTTATGATAATGCAGCAGCGTAGCATATTATTCGACTGCAAGAAGTGCAACTGCCCTATCAATCAAGGCAATAACCGCTCATTTCTTTCAGCGAAGCAACACTGAGGATGTAAAGTGGGAGTCGTTTTCACCTCAAACACTTTCCCTTTTTTCAACTAGCCAGGGCGAAAATATAAGCGCAAATAGCTGGTTAGGCAGAAGACTCCTCCTAGTGTTTTTTTTGCCTACTGACACATGCGCGCGCTAATGGGTCCGTACAATAAATAATAGCAATATCATAAAGTGTAAAAGGTTGCACTTGGTAGAGGGAGAGTACGAGAGGTGTGTAGCTGGGCCTGCTGCCACTCGCCTTCAATTGCACTAGGCCCCAGACATGCCCCTGCTAGAGGAAGAGTGGGTGCTCCCAGTTGCCGTGCCACTAAGTGCTACTACATTGTCCCAGGGTACGATCCAGAAGGGTCGTGTGGGGGTAAAGAGAAGGAGGTAACACTGCCCACCATTCTTCCCTCCGGCGCGCACCTGTCATAGGGGATTGAAGTGTGCTTGTTGGCCCATCTTCGCGCCACCACACAGCCT